AGGTGGAATATATAACCAGACAACAGAAGACACAAATCAGGCTTTTGACTGTTCGTACGAACATTCTAAACTTCATTCATAGGAATGAATGTAAGAATTTGTCTATGAACGTTTGATAAATGAGGGCCCGGGAGATCCAGAACCTCTAGCATGCTAGCTAGCAGGGGCGCTGTAGCCAGTGCCCCAGATGCATTGAATTCAGGAATGCTGACTGGCCAAAAAAATCTCCCGTTCTCCCTCGCAACCAAACATGATTGGCTGTTTAGCCCCCACTGCATAGGAGACCATCAGTGCAACCAGGTGTTATTTATGAGCGTAAATCTGTGTGGAAACAGATTTGATTTATGTGGCTGAAACCGCTTGTTGCTCCAAAAATAGCTAATAATCATTTTTAAACAAGTTTATTTGAAACATTTTACAAAAGTAATTCCACAAGTTTTCAGTGTTTTATAAAAAGATGAATAATATCTAAAGAGAAGACTGACTGGTAGGAAGAACCAGGGGATTTTAGAGTCACAGGAAGACTAACAACAGGAATTCCACCCAAAACACAGAAACATGTAAGGCGTTGGTTTATACAGACATAGACAAAATAGTTGGTACCCTCCTGTCAGTGAAAGAAAAACCCACAATGGTCACAGAAATAACTTGAATCTGACAAAAGTAATAATAAATAAAAATTCTATGAAACTTAACCAATGAAAGTCAGACATTGGTCTTCAACCATGCCTCAACAGTTAAAAATAAACTCATGGAACAGACCTGGACAAAAATGATGGTATCCCATAGAAAAGAGTGTGACCGAAGGTGTTACTGGGCCTACATATGTGGCTCCAGGTAGTCACAGTGCTGTTTGGTGACATGGGGTGTACTACACTCAACATGGACCAGAGGAAGGGAAGGAAAGCGTTGTCTCAGGAGATTAGAAAGAACATTATAGACCAGCTTGTTAAAGGCAAAGGCTATAAGACCATCTCTAAGTAGCTTGATGTTCCTGTGACCACTGCTGCACCCATTATTCAGAAATTTCAGATCCATGGGACTGTAGCCAACCTCCCTGGATGTGGCCACAGGAGGAAAACTGGCAACAAACCAAAGAGACGGATCATCTGAATGGTAACAAAAGAGCCCAGAAAAACTTCTAGAGATCCAAGGTGAACTTTGAGCCCATGGAACATCAGTGTCAGATTGCACCATCTATCATTGTTTGAGCTAAGTGGACTACATGGGAGACAACCAATGAGGATGCCATTGTTGAAAACAAATAATAAAAAACAGACTGGAATATGTCAAACTACATGCTGACAAGCCACAATCTTCTGGGACAATATCCGATGGACAGATGAGACAAAAACAACAAATCAGCTCCATCTTCACAGATGGGAAAATGAAGCCTATCAAGAAAAGAACAATGTCCCTATTGTGAAACATAGAGGAGGCTGTTATGTTCTGGGGCTGCTTTGCTGCATCTGGCTCAGGGAGTCTTGAATCTATGCAGGGTACAATGAAATCTCAAGACTATCACAGGATGCTAGAGAGAAAAGTGCTGGCCAGTGTCAGAAAGCTTGGTCTCAGTGGCAAGTCATGGGTCTGGCAACAGGACAACGACCCACAACACCCAAGAACAGCTAAGAGGAAAACGCTGCTGTTCTAACGGCCTTCTATGAGCCCTGACCTCAATCCTACTGAGCATCTTTGGAAGGAGCTGAAACATGGCATCTGGAAAATCTGAGAAAACTGGAGCAGTTTGCTCATGAGCAGTGGGCCAAAATACCTGCTGAGAGGTGCAGAAGTTTTATTGACAGTTACAGGAATCATTTGATTGTTCCAATGCTGGAGAAGTAACATCGGTTTTGTCCAGGCCTGATCCATGAGTTTACTTGTTAAAGTATTTCTGTTGAAGAAAAGGGATGTCTGACTTTCACTGGTAACATTTCATACATTTTTTTTTTAAATTTATGATTACTTTTGTCAGCCTCAAGGCATTTCTGTGACCACTGTGGGTTTTCCTTTCACCGACCGAAGGGTACCAACGCATCTGTATAAAACACTTCACTGTAAAAACCTAAAACAAAACTGAAATAGATCCAGTTCTAGGGTTGTCACGGTAACCGGTCTAGCGGTAAACCCCGTTAAAAAAAATTGACAATAATAATGTGGCAAGGTGGAGAAATATGTGGTGGGGAAGTATGGGCCCGGGCGGGATTCGATCCCCAGACTCCCGAGTGAGAGTCACGTGCGCTAACCAGTCAGCCAAAGGGATATCCCCGTGGCCTAGTAGCCAGGGTGCATGATCAATCGGGACACAGTGACAGGACGCTCACACTGCCACAACAATAACCATCTTGTTTTAAAATATATATTATGTTGGTGGGTTTACCGTGGCTGCGGTGTAGGCGCGGTGACCCTTACCAGCCACCGTATCATCTGCTGAAGTTGCAGGCGGCACATGCGCGCTTTGATGTTTACAACCAAAACTTTCTTGAAGCTAAAGCTGAAATAATGGTCAAAGAAGGAGACGGCAGCGCTCAGGACATTTATTATCCCTCAAAGAAGACAAAGTCGGAAGTACGGGCATATTTTGGATATCTGAATAATGCCGAGGGACAGTTGATAGAAGACGGCTATCCTGTTTGCAGCACGTGCAGAAAAAGTGTCTGTGAAAGGCAGCAATGCTTCAAATCTCATGACACATCTGCGTGACCATCACCCACAACTCTACAGTCAACGCAAGGCAAGCTAACGTTAGCGTTTTAGCTAAAATGCGTGATCCAAGGATTTGGGTTGAGGGAGGATGCAACGAGTCGCTATATAAAGCAGCCGCAGCGCCGCTACCTGCATATAAACCGTGTCGCGGACACCCCCATGTTGAAATGACGCTATGCATTACGGGGCTCCCAGGGGCAGATAAGAGTTGGTCTCTCTCCGAGAATAATTATGAATTTAACAATGATTACTGCCTGATGACATTTTCCCACATCTGCAAAGCTCACTGGAAGGACACAAACCGAGGACAATATTTTCCTGATATAGGGTTTATTACTCAAGTAAGGGTAAAAAAAGTATCTGATTAGAAGGCTACTTGAGTACTGAGTATCATCTGATCTAATATTTTTAAAATGATGACAAACAGACAAAAAATAAGAAGTTATGGGCAAATATTGGTATTTTAAAGACTAAAGGGGAAAAATGTAAACAAATAATTAACATAATTACAAAATAACACATTTTAGGCTAAATTTTGACACAAACTGAGGACTGTTATGGCCGCCGCCGTTTTGGAGCCCAGTGGTGTGTTGCACTCCATTTTCATGACCAGCAGTTCAGCAGCGCAGCACCTTGGACAGCTGCTCCTTGGGAAGCTGTCTTTACTTCAGGACCTTGGACAGCGCCAGAGCAGCAATCACGGCCAGCTGGGATTTTTCAACTCATCAGCTGGACCCTTCAAAAGCGGCCAGCTGGAGCCCATCAGGGGAGAGAAATGTTTGTAGGTTGCAGCAGCAACGCGTGTTCTCTCCCCTTGGTGGTTATCTTGGTTTTGTGAGTTAAACCAAGTTGTTTTGCTTACTTCTTGTGAAGAAGTAACTTTAGGACTTTTTGTGTTGGGATAATTTGAGTTAGCTGATAATTCTTGGTTTGGTGTGTCTTTTAGACCACCTTTGGTAAATTACCAGGTGGGGTTTTTCCCCTTTTGGAGTCTCGGGTTTCCCGTTTTAAATATAGCAGAGCTATTTAGTATTTTTGGTGTTTTGACAAAGTAAGTTAGTACCTTTTGTTTGGTTTGTCTTTTAGACAGACCTTGTGTAAACATTCGGTGGGATTTTTGCCCATTATCTTAAGTTCCAGTCCGTTTTACTAAAGGAGACTTATTTTAGAAATTACAGTGGTTGGTCCTCTGGACATTTTCAGTTAATTAATTAATTTAAACTTGGTTAATTTCTTGGTAAGGGTTTTGGCCCCTTCTTTTGGTTTCCCTTCTTTTTAATAAAACCTTTGTAAAGACAAGGACACTTTGAGTTTGGTTTTTGCTTGGTCAAGCCTTTTTCTCCTCCGTTAGGGTTACTTTGCATTAAACTTGTCCTTTTTATGTTTATTCCCCTCTCCTTCCTAGCAGAGCCCACAGAGGGGTGTAACAAGGACAATATTTTCCTGATATACAGGGTTTTTATGTAGTTGTCTGAAAATGTAACACGTTTAAAAAAATACAGCGATAACACGAAAAACGTGATATTTTGGTCACAATAACGGTGAGGTTAAATTTTCACACCGTGACAACCCTAATGTTTACTAAAGTGTTTTTATCTAATCTATCCAGTCATCCCGCAGCTCGTATCTGAGGCCAGATCGTAAAGATTCAGACCTAAGCATAACCAGGTTCTGGTTTAAACGTTTCACACAGCACAGACGACCCGTAGAGGCGTTAGCGTCTCCTGCTAACACACAACCCAGCTTCAAATCCTCCCAGACTTTAGTACCAAGGAGCATCAGAGACACTAAATAAAAGGACATACTGTTAAATCAGGGGTAGGAAGCTCCAGTCCCAGAGAGCTGCTATCCAGCATGTTGTAGAGGTTTCCCTGCTTCAACACACCTGATTTAATCAGTAGGTGATTAACAGGCCTGATGACCTGCTGAGTAGGTGAACCAACTAAAACATGCTGGGCAGTGGCTCTCTGGGACCTGGGTTCCCTACCCCGTGTTAAAACACTGGTGAAGCATTTTATGGATATGAGGCAGCACCTTTAGGCTACGTTTGTAGCAGCGCTCATACAGGAAGACAGATTCCTTCACAGCAAGTCTCAAAGACAATTCTTAAAACATCAGATAGTTTTACCAGAAATCAATTTTAATAAACTACATTTAAGATTCAGTTTCTTGCTTCAGCTGTGGGACTGAAGCTGAGCCAGGCGCTGGCGGTCCAGAAACAGCTCCGGCCCTCCCGCGTGAACCTTCATGTGATCTTTGAAACGTGAATGAAAGGAGAAACAGATCCCACAAACCTGGCATGAATACGGTTTTTCCCCGGTGTGGACTCTCATGTGGATCTTACAGTTCCCGTTGGTGCTGAACCTTTTCCCACACACCCTGCAGGAGAACGGCTTTTCGCCCGTGTGACTCCTGATGTGGGTCACTAGACTGGAGTGAGAAGCACAAACTCTGCCACAGGTAGGACAGCAGTGCTGCAGGCTGTCAGAGGCTGGGCTCCTGACTTTGTGGCTGTTCAGCTGATTTAGAAGATGAGAGCTGTGAGACAACGTGTCCCCACCAGGAAATGACCTCTGACTTGAGTGGGATGCAGCGTGAGCGTTCAGTAATGAAGGATTTATAAACGTTTTGTTAGAAACGTGCTGCTGGTGGGTGGCGTAACCACCACAGGTGAAGCTCCTCTCAGGTGTAGGCTCGTTTCTGTTACTGTGACCAATGTTTGTGTGATCTGTGAGTTCAGTTTTCTGATTTGACCTCAAATCCTGATCCAGGTTCTGGGTTGCATCAGAACTCTGAGAGTTGGGCTGCCCCCCCTCTGGTTCTGCTTCACTGTGCTCACTTTCTTCATCCAAAACAGTCACCAGGAACGGATCTGTCTCTTGCTTCAGCTGAAGTGGTTCTTCCTGATGCTTTTCTTGGATCTGCGGAGATTCTGGATCTAGTTCCTTGTGGTCATCTTTGATTTGTGGAGATCTTGGTTTCTCCAGGTCCAGGCTGGAGTTCCACTCCTGGTCTGTGAGGATCAGCTCAGTTGTGGGATCGTGTTCCTGCTGAAGGCCTGAAGAGACCAAATGACCAACAACAGGTTCAGAACTACAATACACAGACTGTGTGTGTGTGTGTAAACACTTGTAAGAACGTGTTTTGACTTTGAACCTGTAACATGGAGATATTTTGAAACAGTGAAGACATCTGCCATGTCCTCACAATGAAAAACAAAAAAACAATAATTGGTTTTAGAGGTACGTTGTGAATGAACTTTTAGTATCGCTTAGGAAAAACACACCACTGGTTAGGGTTAGGCAGAGTGGATTCAAACAAATAGCAACTGATTAAAGACCAGTCATGAGATGAAAGCTGTGGCAGTCAATCAAACTCGGAGGCAGGACTTTAATGCAGGTCCAGATTGTCGAGCACAAACCACCAAACCAAAAGTAAATGGTAAAGTGACCCTGGAGGACGGAGAGATGAGCCCGGTGGAGAAAATACTGTTTCAGTGATGACTGGAGGTCTTTTGGTTCTGCGTGACCCGTCCAATTCCATTGTTTGGTTCTTTTCACCACAAAGTGAAGATGTCTTTTTACTTTTTAAGCTGCCAAGTTCTCACATCACCAGCTTAAAAGGTAAAAACAAATCTTTACTATGCTGTGTTTAGAAAAGAACCAAGCAATGGAAAAAGACTGAAGGTGTTTACTTGTGGGTTAAACTACTGCAGCTCCTTTAGCGGCAAACTGAACGCAACCGTAGGTCATTCATTCTCACTGCACTAAGAGTATAACACCATGTATCCTGTTACACACCAACACCAGCGCTTTATTCAAACCCAAACCAGATTATTCTACACTCATAGCAGAATCTGTTTGACATCGATTGTCGCATGTACAACTTTAATTGGATTTGTGAAAACTGTTTTCTTTCACAAATGCATAAAATGTTTAAATTGATCCTGCCTGCCTGGGCAGCTCTCTGGGTGCCCACCCCCTAACTCTCTGATGCTAGAATCGTCCCTGCTTTCATTCATGTTCTAAACTGGCTTTATTATTAAAATTACCTTTACGATCAGGATCAGAATTACATCTGATAACAAGGGTTTAAACAGACTAACCAGAACCAATCTAGAAGCATGTCTCATCTGTGGCTCACATTCCCGTTAGCTTCGTTAGCTTAGATAGCATCGCAAACCTGCTAACCGCTTTACTCTCGTTGGTTTTGTTGGCGTCGCTGATCATCTCGTGTTTCTAGACCGTGCAGAAACGAGTTAGGGAGCAACTGACCGAGTCTGTGGACGTCTTTTTCAGGTTTCCAGCTGATAACCATCAGTCTGCGGGAGCGAGCCAGCTCTTCTTCGTACCGAACGATCGTTTTTTCAAACTCGGTGAAAATTTCGGTCGCAACAGCAGTTAGTCGTTCACCGATAAAGTCTCTCAGATGCTGAACTGGAGGCATCATAACAAAAACAGGTATGACACTTCAGCAAAACACAAGAACACAGCCGAAGAACACGACAGCTACCGCGTTTTCTTCTTCTGATGGTTAATTGTAACGGTAAAGCAACGCGGCGTCGCTCTACCGCCACCAAGCGGTGAAACCAGCCTCTGGTCGCTATACCTAACACGAACTTTCAAAATGAAAACCAATGACTTATCATTTATTGATTTATTTTTATCAAATGAGCATTCCTATGTTTTAACATAGTTAAATGAAAACATCTGAACCTGAAGATGAACAAATACATAAATCAATAGTCTGTTTCACTGAACAGGCACAATGGTATAATAAAGTAAGAGAAACGTATCTCTCATTTTGAATCAGAGCAAATAATCATAAGCGAAAGAACTGTATTAGATCACTTTCTCTTTCATATCTTTTAGAATTTGATGTATAAGTTTTTTCTTATTTTTACCAGATAAACTGACCCAGAGCTTTTCATCCGCTGCGCTACCGTGGTCTGGCCACCAGGTGACGGCAAAACACAAACCCATTTAAAAACAAGAATAAGTCTACATCCGGCGGAAGTAAACAAATCAGTTACGTTGTTTTGTTTTATTCACGTCAGTTTTTGCAGCAGCAAAATTTTTAGTTTAACATCAGAGACCGGTGTTCTGCTGGAGAACGTTTAATACGGTTTAAAGAACCGAATCTGAACGAAGAGGAGAACGTTATTCATCGCAGACTGATGGAGATCTGCTGGAATCCACAGAAAACCGGTTAGTAAAACAAGCTAGTTTTAGGAATTAGTAAAGATTCACCAGGACTAGTCTCCAAAAGATTAATAACCTTTAAACATGCATGGTTTCCAGTCAGGTAGTTTATGTCTGAACGAGCCTCCAAACTGAAAAAAACACCAGTGGCCTGACGTTCATCACGGAATCAGCTGCTAAAGTACCAAACTGTTTTAGTCTTCTTGGCTGTTTCGGTGTTTTGTTTCGTCACAGAAACATTTTTATCTCTTCTTTGTCCTGCCAGACCCCCAAAATGAGTCGTGCTGTAACGGAGAGGAAATACCACTAAACCAGGAGGAACCAGATCTTCTACAGATGAAAGAGGACCAGGAGGAGTGGGATCCATCACAGAGAAAAGAATCAGAACCAGAACCTCCCTGGATAAAGGAGGAGCTCTGCAGCAGTGAGGATGAGGAGCAGCTGGTTCTGAAACAGGAGACCGACACCTTCACGATGACCTGTGATGAGGGTGAGCTGAGTGAACCAGAACCAAACTCACAGCAGCTCCTCTCTCACATCTCTGCTGTAACTCAGACTCTGAACCAGAATCTGGAACCAGAATCAGATGGTGATGCTGAGCTGAACCCAGAACAGACCCATCACAGAGAGACCAGAACCGGGTCTGGTACTGAGCCTGTGATGTGTGACCTTTGCGGGAAGACATTAAAGAACAAATACAAAGTTGAGTATCATCAGAGGATTCACACGGGTGAAAAACCACATGTTTGTAAAGTCTGTGGCAAAGGTTTCCGACAGAAGGATTATTTAAAACGTCACACGAGAACCCACACAGGAGAGAGGCCTCATGTTTGCACGCTCTGTGGCAAAAGCTTCAGAGAGAGCTGTTATCTGACCGTTCACATGAGGTCCCACACAGGCGAGAAGCCTTACGTCTGCAAGTTATGTGGCAAAAGTTTTAGGCACAGTGGGACGCTGTCCGAGCACATGAAAAACCACAGCGGCGTGAAGTTGTTTTCCTGTGAAACTTGTGGGAAAAGCTTTATTAATAACTCCAATCTGAGCATCCACATGAAAACCCACACTGACCTGAAGCCCCATTCCTGTGACACTTGTGGCAAAAGTTTCCGACGAAGCCATCATCTGGTCAACCACAGGAGAACCCACACGGACCTGAAGCCGTACTCATGTGTAACGTGTGGAAAAGCGTTCAAGACTCACGGTGGTTGGTCTTCACACGTGGGGTCCCATGCAGGCCTGAGGCCGTACGTGTGTGGCACGTGTGGAGGAGCTTTCAGGAGCCACAGCGGGTGCTTCCTGCACATGAAGTCCCACACGGGAGAGTCTGGAGCCGGAGATCAGCTGTAGGACCAAATAATCATGTTGAAACAGTGTGTGTGTGTTCTGGTAGAGTCAGGCCGGTGAACCTGTGGATCAGCAGCCTGCTCACAATTACATTCTAGAGTAAAAACTACTTTGTTGTTTTTCATGTTTATAAAACAGAATCATGTTTCTGAGACCGAGGGAATTTTGAATCAGAAAGACTCGTCTTCATTATTGGTTAAGAATTTCATGATGCTGCTTTCTTCTGTCGTGTTTGCACGTAAGTTCAGAAACAACCAGCAGAGGAGCTCACAGGAGGAGAGCTGAGCTCCTGTTTGAACATGCATGCTAGTCTTACTTGTATCTGCACCTTGATGCGTTTGGCTGCATTCGCTCATCATAAATAAAGAATTCATATCTACTTTCACACTAAGAAAAGGCTGAAAACGTTTTTGTTTTACATTTTATTCACTTGGAGCAACGAGGTTTATAAATGTAGTTAATAGAAACGACCTAACAATAATTGTAGTAATGTTTAAATGGTGATAATGAACGCTTAGTGTTGAACTTGTTATTCAGACAGAAGAAAATATGTCTCAACATAAATCTGAGCTGCCAGTTAAGAGTTAATGTCTGGATGTTTTTAATAACATAAAAATTCCGTTGTCTTGTTTATTTGGAGAGATATTTGGTGTTTTGCATTTATACAGTAAAACTGATCTGTGGATGGGAGCCCCCTACCTGCTGCAGTATCGTGTTCTGGCCACAAGGTGGCATCAAAATCACCCATAAGCCTGGAAGATGCAAACATCCTGAAACCTGCAGAAGGGCTGACATGGAGACTGGAGGATGTGACGTCTACAGAGAAACATAAAAACAACGAAGGATCATCACAGAGCACAGATAAGAAGCCGTGTAGAAGAACCAGGAGCTGCATGTGTGGAACACGTGGAGCTCCCTCAGGAGCAGCCATGGTCGCACATGATGGTGTCTGAAACATTAAACTCTCCAGAAGAGTTGTGATGACGAAACACAAAAACTCGAGAGAGGAAAGTCAGTTTATGGCAAATGATGACGTCATCTCTGGGTTTCAGCATCATCAGACACTAGGGGGCAGTGTTGCTCCACCCATGATGACTGTAAGGAGCTGCAGGGTGGCGCTGGTACCTCACAGCAAGCAGGTTGCAGGTTTAAATCCCTGCTGCAGCCTTTCTCCATGTTCTCTACATGCATGTATCTCTGTGTCCTTGTGATGGACTGGAGACACGTCCAGGGTGTCCCCCACTGCTCACCTGATGATGGATGAATAAAAACTTTGAATAATAAAAATCTCTTCATTTGTCCAAATCGTTTTTACATATTTCACTGACTTCCTTAACACTCAACTTACAAGTTCAGAGTTTAGAGAAAAAGAAGGAAAACTATTTTTGCCACAAATATTGAAGTAGGCCTAATTATAAAGGTCAAACCGCAGAAATTCCTCATTAAAGGCACACTATGAACATTTTTCATATTTTTAAATCATTTTCTTGTGCCACTATGTGCTTAAATAACCATTTCGAGTTACAGATGTCACTCAGACCCCCACCACACTCTGTGGCCAGAATATCACACTTGCAACTTCAGAGTGCCAGCTGCCACCTGCTGGATTTAGAAAAATGGAGCTTATTTACCTAGCGCTGCAGTCTACTTCCATCAGGTGTCCTGCATGTTCTAGATCATGAACACAGCTGACTAGTTGGATTATGTAATGCATCGCTCCTGTAGACACTAATGAAGGCTGGGAGATGTTTTAGCTGTTAGATGATGGAGTTAAACAGACAAACGCACAGCAAGGAGAGAAATTTCTGGTTTAACCACAGTGAATTTTTTATGAACACTAGAGGGTGCTAAAAGCATGCCAAACTGCCAAGTGGACATTAAAATTCCCCTTTCACCCCAGATTCTGGGCCAGAAGCTCCTGGTTCAGTTTCATCAGCTGATCAATGATCCTCCATCAAAGGAGCCACCAGGTTTGTTATCAGCCTTAACCCCGCCCACTGACCTATATGAGCAGGTTGGCAAAGAAAAAAAATTCATGATGAGCAACTCAGACTAGGAAATAAAATGTTTATTTATCCTAGAATTAAAGAATGACTGACACAAACTATTAGTGAAAGGCCAAGTTCACAGAGAAACTGTTCATTATTTATTTTTTCTAAATTGAATGGATCCTTCTGAGTGCGTCATGCAGGCTGAACATGAAAATAGTCTCCTACACCTATCTCCTGCAGTAGCTTCTGATAGAAAACAGATGGTGAAACTCTACGATTAGAAAATCCTGACAGATCTACAGGAGAAAGGTCTGTCACTAATATTCATGGACTCACCCATCTGGACTCAACACGGGGAAGGCAGTTGTTGGTTTAGCGTCCAGGAAACAGCAGAGAACGTCTCAGCTGGTAGAAGCTAACTGTTAGCATTAGTTCCACCACAAAGCAGAACTCCTCCAGGCTTGTGTTATTTGTGAAGATAAAGAATCAACGTTGCAGAGCAAACTGAGTCAGTGGTAGCGTCACGTTGTTGTTAGCCAATCAGAGGAGAGATGTCCACATATCAGGAAATAAGACTCCAGATCCTGTCATCTGAAGCTCAGCTCTTCTCTGGTTGACTTCTACTTCCTGAAACAGGAGCGCCAGAGCTTTGTTTCCCACATAAATTCACTCACTCACTCACTCACTCACTCACTCACTCACTCACTCACTCACTCACTCACTCACTCACTCACTCACTCACTCACTCACTCACTCACTCACTCACCTGGTGGGTGGTAGAGGATAACTGTGCTGCAGGGATGAAAACGTGGAATCAGCTGATGAGCCCCTGAACTGGTCTGACTGGTTTCTCCTGAACAGGTAAGATGAATGTTGACTGGAGCAGGTGATTATGATCCTCCTGCTCGGAGCGAGTCTTTACCCGATCTGTGGAGAAATCAGACCTGCTCGCGCTGCGGTGAGGTGAGATCCAGACAGCATGTCAGTCTGGGACCGGAGAGCTTATTGGGAGGAGAGAAAAGGTGCAGCCACAGCTTAACCTGAGCGAGGCGGTAATGAGCTTCGCCTGAGGGCCTGCAGGAGGCTCGTCAGCCTGCCATCGTTCACACGACCTATTTATGCCTTTTTACACAAAAATATATTCTACAGGAATCATTATGACTAACAGGCGAGAGGTGACGAGCTGAACTGCTATGCAACGATAAATGACCCCAGAAGAGGTGGCATGGTTGCCACGGCGCTGAGGAGGATGCTTTATGATGTCTGAATGAAGTTTTCTTCTGTCCCACATAAACCTTCATGAACCAGAGGCTGTGTTACGGAACAAAGCTTATCTTAGTTTGCAGTAAAGTCGAGAATCAGAAATACAAAAATGAACAATCAGCTTCTGCTGGTCAGGGTCAGGGTTTGAATCCTCAGACTCTCTGTCGCTCTGGGTCAGGTGGGTCAGGTGGGTCAGATGGGTCAGGTGGGTCAGGTGTAAATGAAAGGACACATCCGTGTCCACCAGCCGGCCGTCAGCTGGGACCATAGATACAGACGACATAGATGAATTTAGCTTTTGATCAGTGTCTTCCCTGCTGACATGAGCTGACCTTTCAGGATGTTTTTCATATTTTTAGTTGTGACCTTGTTTTTACTCTAGTGTTCTTGTATTTTATTATCCTTTTATCTGTTTCTTATCAATCTTGTTGTTTGTTATTTTGGGGTTTCCTTCTTTTTCGCTGCTGTACAGCACTTTGGTCAGCTGTCATGCTGTTTATAAATGTGCTTTATAAATAAGCCTGGGAAGGTGTGGAGCCTCCCTGCTTTGCTCTAAGTTTTCATGCATTAGGAAACAAAAACATGCAAGAAAAATAAAAGTATCTAAAAAGAGCAGCAGGGTTAGAACACCTGCAGAAACCATCTGTTATGGTTGGAAGGAGTCTTCTAAAAAACTCTGGTCTTATGTCTCTCTTTCGAGGCCTTTCTCTTTTTGTAGAAGACTATAAGACACACTCGTACTCTACTTGTGACTCACAGCCATTTTCAAAAGAACCCGGCAAGAACCTCGAGGATCGGAGGCTATCGCTCTACACATGACCAGAAAGCACAGGAAGGAAAACTAGCCACCAACAAGCACATACGGCCTTGCTTTATTGGGGGGGGGGGGGGGGGATGTGGCGGCACAGGAGTTAAGTGCTCGCCCCGTAATCGGAAGGTTGCAGGTTTGAGCCCCGCTCTGTTTGTCGCTGTCATTGTGTCCTTGGGCAAGACACTCCTTACCTGCTGGTGGTGGTCGGAGACACCGGTGGAGCCTGTGCATGGCAGTCTCGCCTCCGTTAGCGTGTCCCAGGGCAGCTGTGGCTACACTGTAGTTCATCATCACCAGCATGTGAATTTGTGAATGAATGAATGATTGTGTTGTAAAGCACCTTGGGGGTTTCCAGGACCCTAGAAGGCACTATATCAAATACAGGCCATTTACCATTTACCATATGTGGACCAACGGTTCAGAAGATCCTCCGGAAGAAAAGATTCTGCTTTAACTTCAATTCAGTAAAAAAATAGTAAAAATTAAAATCTTCAGGAGCAGCAGGGTTTGTTGAGCAGATCCGAGTCTGTGGCTCGGCTTCATCAGTATTCCTCCTCCTCGCTCCTATTCCCACAACAGACGGTGTCATTCCCTTCAAACGTGGATTCATCGTTTTGGAAAAAGAACTTTCTCTTTTTCACAGCTTGATGAGTCATTATGCTCCCTGAGACATGACTGACAGGCAGCGCTATTAGCGCCGCCACCAGCTGATGTTTCTGAGTAGACAGGTAATTCACTCTGTTGACCCAGAAAACCTGAAAGCTTCTCAGATAATGAAAAACGTCCGTGATAAATCAGGAATCCCAGATGGAATATTAAGTTTTTATTTCAGTTGCAGCTTCTGGTTTTTCTGATTAACGTGTTTTCAGTCTGGAAAGCAGCCCTGAATAATCCTGCTGGCTGAATCTGAATGTTCCACCTGGCTGAAGCTGATGGCCGCAGACCTGCTGGGGTTCCACGGTGGTGTTTGTTTCTCCTCTGAGCTAAATGAACGTTGTGGACTACAGATGTGTTTAAGTGCTAATGCAGCAGCATCTTTTGAATTTCCTTCCGTCCCTCCAGCCTGGTCCCTGATCCTGCAGTAGCAGAGATGTTTGAATCCAGCCTTTCATGTTCTGTTGCCTCAGAATCCGGATTTCACTTTATCAGTCAGGGGGAATAAGAGCAGAGAAGAATCTGCTTCATGAATCCTTTACCTGTGAACAAATTTAATCTGGGAGACTCCGGGATTTATTGAAGCATCTTAATGGAGCTGCTTCTTCAGCAGCCAGCTTAAACGGCTCAGTCGATGCATAACAAACAGACGAGTTGATCACCCCGGCGTGGCGTCTCTCTCTCTCTCTCTCTCTCTCTCTCTCTCTCTCTCTCTCTCTCTCTCTCTCTGAAGTGCTCAAATAAATCAGAATGGGTTTGTGGGGCTGATGCAGTAATACAGGAGAAACGCGGCAGAGGACCAATCCATTAACACAGGTTTGTTCCTCTGAAGGTTTGGTGTTTGCAGACAGGTGAACAACAGGAGTCAGAGAATATAAAACTTCTGACAGCTTGCAGAGGCAGATTAGAGTCGGTCCTAATTACACTCAATCTGAGAAACCCTCACCTGGACTGTCGTCATCGGACACCTTCTGGCCTTAAAGCCTCCAGATGGAGCATCAGGATGAACACCTTCATAAGAAACCTGCCAGATCCTGTCTCGGACATGTCTGCTGCCCCCGGTGGAGGATCTAGCGGTGGTGAGAGCCCATTTTATTTCTTTATTACATAATATTATAAAACTGGTTGCTTTTTTAAACAAAAATAGATATTTCCGTTTTTAAAACTAGATTTTATTAATTTAGTTTGTTTATTAAATAATTATTTTAATGTGACGGTAGAGGCAGCCATTTTTATCCAGCTGATGCTTTTCATGTCAGACCTGATCTGTGAGACGAGGAGTTTGTTAAAAATAAAAACTCAGATTTCTGATAAAGTTGCTTCTCAACTCAGAATACGTTTTTCCTTTCAAAATAAAGCCCCTTGCAGGTAAAACCATCCCACCAGAACTTTTCCTCTCATACTTCATCTGCACAGCGTTTACGCTTCAGATCAGGTGAGTGGACTCTTAAGGCTCCCAGTGTCTAATAAATGAGACAAATCCTCTCCTGACAAACTGCAGCAGACAGCGGGTCGGAGCCGCCGGGTCGGAGGTCAGTCTGCTCCAGAGCCGAGCAGCAGACGCTTTAGAGGTGGAGGGTGGAGTCCACCTCGAGGTGGGGATTTAAACCAGAGCTGCTCCTGCTGCTGCTTCACACATCTGGAAAATAATCCAAGAATTAAATATCATGATGTGGGTGAAATAATCAGAGTTAATGAAGTTAGTTAAACTAAAATCACCAGAGGAAAATCCTGATTTTATGTTTGGTGTCGAACTTTTCAGTTCAAAGTTTATTAGAATAAAAGTTCCCTTCAGAATTAAACCTGAGCGTCTTTTTGTTGACTTTTACTTTCATAATATCTCATCCACTTTTAAAGATATCTTCACTTTTTTATTTGAAAATAAAAGCTGAAGCTCAGTAAATAAAAACCCATAAAAATCCATCAGATAAACTTTATTTATACAAAATGCAAACAAAGTGAACAGATTGATAAATGTTTGAGTAAATAAATGAACCAAAACAGTTTCCTGCTGCAGTAAATGCAGCAAGAACAAAAACATAATTATAAGAATAAAACAAACAGGAAGTGTATTTTCAGAATAAGACACTGTACGGGTGTGAGACGGCCTGATAAAAGAACAGCGGAAAATCCAAACTTCTGTGATTCAGATTAAAATGCGTCTCAAATAAAAAACTTGATGCTTTTTAAAAGAAACTGAATACAAAACAACAAAAATTAAAATAATCCCAAATCTCTGCATCTGCATCTTAAATCCTCTGATGACCACTAGATTAGGGATTAATTAGAATCAGAATAAAAGCCAAAGCTGCACCATGTAAAGATTCTGCTCAGTTTAGTGTCAGAAAGTGAGTTGCTGTGATGGAATGGTGCAGCAGAAACAGAAAACCTGGATAATCTGGTTTCATGTGTGATTTAATCTAATCTAATCTAATCTGAAAGAACTAAACATGCACATGTGTTTTTATTCATTTATCTGGTAAAATCCCTCCGGCTGGTGGCGCTCTAACGTCTGCAGAAGCGCTCGCTGATGTTCTAGTCTCAGACCAGCTGAAGCCAACTTCACTTTAGGTCATAAAAACACCAACATTCAGAAATGACCTTTGACCTCTGGCTTGTTCTGGCACTACTTCCAGACTCACACATTCGGGACCTTTTCTATCAAACTGAACTTTCTTAGCAGATTTTATAAATATTTGTTTTAATTAAGGAACTAAATTAGATTTTGAGACGAATAACTTCTTCATCCTCAGATCCTCCGGCGTCCCGCCTCCTTCTTCCTGCTGACCCTGATTTACTTCCTGTGACCTTTACTCTGCTATACGAGTAGCGCCGGCCTCCTCCACAGGCCCCTCCCTCTTGGTTTCCAAGGAGACCTCGGTGTAGACGACCCCTCCCTCTGGTTTCTCCTCCTTGGCCTCAGCCTCGACCTCGGCGCCCTCCTGGCCCTCGGCAACGGCACGCTCCTTCTTCAGCTTGATGCGGAAGGTCTCTTTGGTTGGAGCTTTCTTGGCAATGTTCTCCTTCAGCCGCTCGCCGGACTGCTTCAGCCGCTCGCCAGCCTGGTGCATCTTCTCCCTCCTCTCTGGTGGCATGACCTTTTCGCCCAGGTTGTGGAACCTGGTGCCCAGGTTGTCTTTGGTTTTGCTCATGCTCTCCTTGGAGAAGGCGGCCTTCAGGGTCTCTGTGCTCTTCACCATGGATTTCTTGAGGCGAGCTGCCCGTGATGGGTCTGGCTCATCCACGTTCAGGCCTTCCTCATCAGAGGAGAGGTCAAAGGGCACGTCGTATGAGTCAGGCTCAACATCCAGACCCTCCAGACCAGGGCTTTTGGGCCCTTTGGTGACAGCCACAGATGGGACCTCGGTTTCCCCCTACGACCACAAACAGAAGAAGCTTTAAGCACAGGGCACCATGACTGGTCCACAATAAGGACACATCAGAGTTTTATTTTAGTTTTGATCAGATTCATTCAGCTTTAACTTTTCCTGACCCTTTTGTTTAGCAGGAACATGTTTGGTTCTGTTTTTGTTTCCGTGCAAGAATCCAGTGCCGGATTCATGAGCCTTTGGGTTCAGAACCAGTGTGCATCATCTGACCCGACTGCTGCAGCAGATTCATCGTGGAGCAGCTGAGATGCTTCACTCAGAATACAAAGGTGAGCTAGATAATGTGACATCATCGCTGCAGTGCTGAAACCCAGCATCAGAGGTTAAGCTCGGTTAAAGGTGAAGACCTGGGTTGAAGTTTCCTGCTTCAGAACCACCAGGAATCAGCGATGGCAATGACACGGTCACAGATGCACCAAGTTCTAATCATCTAAGGGACTGAGAGGGAGCCACTGCTAAGGTGATGGCCATCTTGAATTACTCTCACTCCAAATGTGTTTTGGTCGAAGAAGAACATCCAGAGGTTATTTTCATGCCGGTGATGGTTAAACATCAGTGAACTAAAGGGTTTGTTACTTCTCACTAGCAGGTTTGCTGTGATGTCGGAGTTTTCTCAGCACTGATGAAACCGACCCTTTTATCCATCACAGATACGGTTAAACTGATCAGATAGAGAACCTCATCTCCCTCCGAGGTTCCCTGTCAGACCTGACCTACAGCCCTCTGCAAACACACACAGATCAGCTTTTTCGATTTTTACAGAAGAGAAACCGGAGCGCGCCGAGACCGGAAACGTCTGACAGGAAGAGCAGGAGTAATAATAACCACACTTCAGGTATTTATAACACCTGTAGAAATCCTCCTGCTGCACATTAACGCCATCCAGTACCCTCAAAGCCCTGAAACCTGGAGGAAGCAGGCCTCACAGGTGGGCTCCATCTGCTGCATCCTACAGATGACCTTCATGTGAAAGCCACTTAATCGTGTTCAAGGCCAAGCACCTACAGGGATCGCCGTCATTAATCAGGGCGGGGTTGTCGGAGCGAGTCCAGACGTGTTGAATGACACAATAATTACAATGTAGGTTAGGACTCGTATTAATAACTGGGGAGGAAGAGGCTGACAGGAAGTTCAGACCATCAGAACCAGCCGGCATCGCCACCCATCAGCCGTTACCCTCTGATCAGCCACAGAGATGCATCCATTATTAAAACCATCAGTGAAAAGACCCGAAATGGAATATATGGATTAAGACGAGATCCTGACCAAATGATCTCAAAGTTTATAAAGTTCCTATTTATCTTGTTGATAAATAACACAACATAAAACTGGTGCAAAATGATCCAAACAGCTTTAGACAAATAATAAAAGACTTATAAAAAATATCAGTAAGACAATAAAAACTAAATCTATTGAGATGGAAAAGTAGAACAAAACACAACGACTGAAAGATGAGAGAAATAACAAAAAACTGCCGAATAAAAGAGAATTATAGAAGAAATGATGTAAAAAATCAAATAAATGCTTTAACAAAAAAAAAACATCTAAAACAAACAAAACTAATAAAAATAGATAAAACAGAAAATATGTTATTTAAGTAGTAGATTAATGATGCTGGAGTAGAGTCAAGCAGCAGCTTCTGAGCCCAGAAGATCCTTCTCAGAAGAGGAGCGACCATAAAAGATCTTAAACCAGAGAGTTTGGGTGAAGCCTACAACAGATGGACCCAGTAAAACATTCCAGGTATCCATATAGAACCTGGAATCTCGGCGGCCGGAAACCTTGTTCCGTTGTTGCAACTACAACCTCCACACACTAGATGTCGCTTTGGTGCTCCACATTCTACCTCTGACTATGGCTATGAGTTAAATGTCCACTTCATAATCAGACGGTGTCAGGTTCCATCCCCACTCAGTCTGTCACTGCCGTTGTGTCCTTGGGCAAGACACTTCACCCACCTTTCCCACCCACCAGTGTACGGCGGCCTCACATCCTTCAGTAACCCCCCAGGACAGCTGTAGCCACATTGTAGCTCATCACCACCAGAGTGTGAATAGTTGAAAGCCTTGGGGGGTTCTAGGACCTTAAAAGGCACCATACCTGCTTCTTGCCCTTCAGCAGCATCTGAAACAAAGCAGCTTCCTGGTTCAGCTGAAGCTGAAGCTCTGAACACGAATTAAGGCGTCAGAATAACCGACGGGACGTTAGTCCTGAAGAAACCCGACACCCCGAGGGTCCATCAGGTCCAGACAGAACCAAATTGGGACCCAGAGGCTGCTGCACAGGCTGGTGGTGACTCTGTACAGTAGGGCTATTCAACTCCGGGCCTGCAGGGCCAGTGTCCAGCACGTTTTAGTTTGAACCCTGCTGCAACACATCTGATTTCAACTAGCAGGTGATTAACAGGCTTCTGCAGAGCCTGATGAGCTGCTGCACAGGTGTGTTGGAGCAGAGAAACCAACAAGCATCTCCTGGACCTGGACCTGGACTACCTCAGCCCTGGTCCCCGATGATCATCCAGCATGTTTTACATGTGTTCTGTGCTCCAGCAGGTGACCTAAGCATGGACTCACATGGAGCAGGAACCACACCTGGTTTTTGAGTTGCTCTGGCCTGAATATTTTCTTCATGATGCTTTTTAGAACAGACCAAAACCTGGACCCTGAACCTAAAACAGAAGATGTGCCCCCTACTGGCTGGTTCCTGGTTTTAAGCCCCACCACTCCGTATAAACAGATGGGACCTTGTCCCGATTAAAAACCTTCATAAATATGAACAGATCATTTAGTGTGATGCTTTGTGGAGGCAGTTGGGTCAGCAGGACCTCCAGGTGTCAGGACCACCTCAACAGCTACTCAAACAGAAGAAGTGGAGATACCTGCTCTACTTTTGTTCATGTTGATGGTTAAAAACGGTTATTTTTTGCTGCTGTCATGACCTGCAGAGCACGTTAACATCACAGCTGTGTGGTTCCTTTGGGCAGGTGTGATGTGGAGCAAACCTGGTCAGTTCGAGAGCGTCTTCACACCTTCCAGGTGGATGGAAAGTTAACGATTTGTAGACAATCACCAGATGATAGAAAATAAGACAAAAATACATTTGAATCTCCTATGAATGCAGGATTGTGTGTGCATGTTTATATCAGAATCCTGGTTTGTTCCCAAAAGCAGGAACGTTTTCTGTTCCTCACCTTCAGCAGCAGGTGAGTGGGACCGACGCTCGCCTCTCGCTGCTCATTGATCTCTGCTCCCAGAGTCTGATTCTGGGTGGCAGCATTTAGGGCCTGTCCCTTTTGGCAGCAGATGGGAATGCTGCCATCCCAGAATAGATTCCTCTGTCACGGATCCACAACAGCTGCACATGCGGCTTTGGTTTCCATTCTGGAGTTTGGACATTAGGAAAGACAGAAGCTACTGACAGTGCCTCTGCTGCTCATCAAGATGACTGGAGACAAGTGGGGACCGAACAGGACTAGAGAGGACGGGATGGGATGGGATGGGTTGAGATTAGACTGCACGGGAGAGGAGAGGACCGAATAGGACAGGATGAGCCAGGAGGACAGGATGGGATGGGACGAGACAGGACACAACCCAGTGTTTCCCCTACATAGGCTCAGGCTGTTGTTCTTTCTCGCACCTGTTTTAGACACGCCCATGACGCCCATGACTGTTTCCCAACCGGAACTCTAATTTAACCACAGATAAAAATCCTTCCTGGAGTTTTTATCTATGAAGGAAAACTAAAACGTTTCTGCTTTACCGTTAACGGGAGGCGTTCTGACTCTCAGATGAAACCACGGTTCTGATGAAGATAAAAGATGAACTTTTAAAGTGTTTAGAGATTAAATGGTCTGAATATTTAATCACACAAATGTTTTATAAAAAACTTTAAATGACTCAAAACTAATGAGCTGGGGTGAACCAATTAAAATCCTACAGATTAAAATCCTACAGGTTAAAGGGCTCTAGGTTAAAGACCTCCAGATTAAAATCCTACAGGTTAAAATCCTACAGGTTTAAGTCCTACAGGTTAAAGACCTCCAGATTAAAATCCGCCAGATTAAAGTCCTCCAGGTTAAGGTGGTCCTCTCATCATTACGATGCTCTGACATGAATGTCTGGCATTTGCTGCTTCTTCTTTCTGTAATGATGCTCTAGCTTTCAAGGATTTTTCTAACTATAAAGCAGAAGATTTTATTTACTGCTGAAGGAACTGAAAACTGAAGCTTTTGGTTTCAAAGAGAAGAAACCAGAAGAGATTAAGTCAGAAAAATGATTAATATCAACTGAATTACCTAAATAGAAACGCTGCAGAGCTGATCAATAACTAAAATCATGAGAATCACAAACCGAATGATGAATAAAACTTCTATCTTGTCCTTTAATGAATGCGAGGCGAACACATTTGTTTTGTCCTGGTCGTGTTTTTGTTTTAGTTTAAATCAACTCAAATCCTGATGAAATGCGACTCTTAAGCGCCGTGCAGTTCAGAGAAAGTCTTACAGCTACGGTGGCCCGCTCATGAGTTTGAGAGTGTAATCTCTCTAGCCTCACCCACACGAAGCTTAAAGCTGCCCTACCAGTTAAAACGCGTCTTTATTATGATCATCCTACCAGTCCTGAAGGAAGCAAGCTTGTTCTGTTAGACCTTGAAGCGGTCACAATTCACACACTGAGGAGGGGTGACGTCAGCCGGGAGGTCAGGTGTTGTGATAAATTGTGTTCCCTTAAAATATTCTGTCCCCCCATGTCGGGAAGTTTGCTTTCAGGCTATCTTCACAACATTTGGGATGGACTTCTACAGGAAAATTATGTAATGTAATGTAATAATGTGATATTTTAAATCTATATGTCCTCCTAAAAACACGCTGGAGCGTGTTTGGAGAGATGGCAGGCTGCAGGAACGAACAGAACGAACGCACAAAAGGGAGGAGACTTGGGTTGAAGGACTAATGGACACGTTGGGACTGGATCAGGAGTTCTGGT